GTTTTACAATATTAGTTCCTCACATTATCTATAGTTCTAAAAATTTCATTCATCCAATTATGGCCAATTCCTTTTAATCCTGTCCTTGAGGATCTGGTATAAATCTGATAGCCAAATAGTTGTACATCTGGTCCTGATTATTTGAGGATATAATTCCTTGAAGATTAGGAGTTGGGATAAGGAAAATTAATATCAAGAGCTCTTCTAAACAGGGACTTAGCTGCCCCTTTGATTCGAAATGAAAAATTTAATCACTTTTTGGTAAATTAAGGGGCATTTTGGATCACAACCAAAATGTTCCCTACTAAATTTTTGGACAACTACAATAGCACTTTCAATTATTTGGACTGAAGCCAATAATTAAGTAACCCTTACCAAAATCAGACTCCTAAATAATAGCGAAACCTAGAAGCAAGTTTTGGTATGCCAAAATTAGCCTAGGATTTGGCACTGCCCAAACATTGGTAGCATATTGAACCCAAAATGCACCTGAGTTGCCCTAGTGCTTCAATAAACTTTTCTAACATTTTCCCCTAATGCAATACCATGCTATTAGCTATTTAGCTCAGAGCAACAGAATTGTGTTGTCATACCAAAGAGGGAAGCATCTCCACAAGTTACGAAAATGGTTTGAAATGAAAATAAAAATTGTCTGAATTTTTGTATCATGTCCGTTATTGCCCCCCCCCCCCCCCCCCCCCAAGAAACAGCTGAAACTTTGCCATCATTCCTCCGACTATTCTGATGGTTCACACTCTGCTCCGAAAGCAACATTAACCTTTTAGGAGATCACTCTGCTGTTAGAGAAAAATTACTCACAAATCGATCGCTGTCAGCTGATCAATTGAGTACTTTGTAAGTTAGTTAGAACTAAAGTTAAGAATATTTCAGGATCCGTTGATTCCAGTAGCTCCCCATGCTGCTACTTGCTGAGAGTAAAAAAGAAGACGAATTGAGATTTGAAAGTAGTATATGTAATTGCAAAGTACTCCCTCCATTTCTTTATATTTATCGCCGTTAACTACTACGGTGGCAACTTTGATAACTAATAATTTTTAAATAATAGATTATGATGAACTGAAGTTTAATACTTATGTTTATGTTTAACATGCCATACACACCTTTTTAATAATTTAGATTTTTTTAAAAAAATGAATGAAATAAATGCTTGGTAACAACTATAAAAAAAAATTCGGAGGGACTATTCTTTAACATAGTCAATATATTGGTTGGAACCCATGTCTGTCGATGCAAGAATTTCAAAAGCCTGTAAATCGTCAACTTTGTACTCAATTCCAACGCTGTTTCTTCATAAGAAAACTCATTTTTTAATGAATAATTGAGCAATGTACCATCATTGTACTTTTAGTGCAAACAAGTATACATATATTAAGTTAGGATTACTTGTTTTGGGGTCTTTATGTGGTCTCCTCAAACTTTATTTTGCAATTATCCAAAATTATATCCAGAAAAAGCGTGTCATGATGTGCAACAGCAATCAGCAACCATGATTCGTTAGCACTAATATGTTACTCAAGCAATTGATTACTTATGATTTATACCAAAACTAGAATACAGAAAAATATAGCTGCTTGTCCTTTGACTGAATCAATCTATGGTTGATTCAATCTGCGTGCCTAGTTTAATCCATTTTGCTTTCTTTCTGAATGGTTTCTCTGCCATGTGAGGAGATCATGAGAAGTAATGAACTGCATGATCAGGAGCCAAATCTCTCAAGATTATTATATACAAGAACCATGGACTTGGTTGATTCATCTCACTTATGTGTGAACTCACAAAGAACAAGGTTGCTACTGCCTGCCTGAAAACACTTGTTAATTCATCGCTGAATTTTTCTATTACCCAGGACTCAACATTACCTAATAATTATTCAGAGCAGCTTTGTTTCAGCATGTCCAGATCTTCTTCGATCTGAAAGAAACCTCCCGATAAAAGAGAGTAAATTCTGGAGGAGGGTCAAATCATTATCGAATAAAGAAACAAAAATCTCAGATCTTGCCATGTGCATCCTGCAAAGTTTATTCCATGTTGAACAACCAGCAACTTACAGCCATGATTAAGGAGACATGACATTCCTACCTTTAGTTGGTCAAAATACTACTACTATAAGTTTTGCTGTTCTTTTTTTTGCCACTGAGTACATTTACTATTTCTAATTAACTGCTACAATTACTATAATTTTTTATCTGAATTTTGTAAAGCCTGTGCAGGCCGTTCTTCAGAATTAAGACTGGGATAGTTTCATTCATTTGTTTCCATTTGGCACAAGCTTGTCAGCACTTCAGGTTTTTTCTAATTAAGTATTCTCAATTTATGTTAAACATAAATTAATATAGGAATCGCCATAAGAAAAAAATGAAGATGCATGTTCAAATCTAATCAAAGTATTTGAGGAGTTCATAGTACGAAATGAGTACAACAGACATCAAAAGTCAGTTATATGCTCATCCTTTGTACTATCAAAGATTCCCCAGCACATCATGGGTCATGGCGTGAAGAAAACATTGTTCTTGTTAGTTAACAACAAACATACTGCTTATGTAAAGTAACATCCTAATCATTACCAAGTGAATAACTACAATATAGATAAACATATATTACTAACTTCTTTCTGTGTTATGCACAATATTTTGATGAAATCATTTCGAAATGTTAGCCATTTTCTATACAACGGACTTCAATTCACATCTGCCATCAGAAGGAGAGTTTCAAATGAAAATTGTACTTATTGAGAACTGAGGTGGTGTTTGGATCCAGAGACTAAATTTTAGTCCGTATCACATCGTATGTTTGGACACTAAATAGAAGTATTAAACGGAGACTAATAATAAAACTAATTGCATAAATGATAGTTAATTCGCGAAACAAATTTTTTAAGCCTAATTAATCCATAATTGGCACATGTTTACTATAGCATCACATAGGCTAATCATGGATTAAATAGGTTCAATAGATTCATATTATGAATTAGTCCAGGGTTATAGAACGGATTTTGTCATTAGTCTACGTTTAATATTTCTAATTAGTGTCAAACATCCGATGTGACAGGGTGATCCAAACAGGACCTGATACTGTAGTCTTCAACAAACAAAAACTGTGCATTTGTTTTTTTGTGATTAAAAGCATGCGACCAACCAATTATCGATCATTTAAAAGCTGCAAATGAATTAAGATTTGTGTCAATTTAGAGGAATGCAGAAAACACACACGGCACTCACTGTTCACCAGCAATAATGTCCCTTAATTTGAGCTCATAATTAGTGAACTGTGGCCTGCAACACACCTCATTAATCCAATCAGTGGTGCCTACAATATAATTAGTAGGTACTTTGAGGTAATCTCAGGACCAGTTTTGCTTTAACTCGAAGCAAATGGAACCCAATGAAGCATCATGAAAGAATGGTCCAAGAAAACACAATTACCACATACTTTCTTAGTGCACATGGGATGCACACAATCAAAATAACAATCTTTTGGGTAGTTTAGTCTTGTAGTGGTTTCCAGATTACCTAATTCTCTTGTTCTTTTCACAAATAGAGTTACTAGTAGAAGAATCTATAGGCATGCAATTTGGTTGATAGGATGCATAGTAGGTGAATTATATAAGTATGGAGAAATAAAAAGTAATGGCTCTAGCTGATTATATATATTCTTGGAAACTTTTCACCAACCAAATAAGATAAGTTTTCAAATCATTGCAAGTTTATGTTCTTGATTGAGCACGATTATTGGACGGCTAACAACATGATTGTGACTTTGTGATTTATTTTAGCTCTGAGGTACTGATGCATGCATTGCCCTAATTACAGGTAAATCTTTTATTCAGGTAATTATGTTATCAAGATAGTTAATTAGGCGCCATAATGTTTTTTTGTATAATTTTGTGATCACTACATTTTACCTGATATGACTTGAGATATAGTTTTGAGTTTGGTCATTAGGTAGGCTAAACAATGCGTAAGTCATCAACCTCTTCTTCAGTAAAATATGTTTATCTAATATATTCTACTCCTACAATTGCGTTGATAATTGCCATATAGTACTAGCCATTATGCAACTAAAACAGGGGCAACTCCTTACGTGTCACCAAGCATATATAGTTAGTTTTTAGTGCCTTGAAAGGAATTCATCAAACCATGAGTGGCAAATCAAATTGTGCTCAGAAGAGCCTCAATAAACTTCTGCTGATCTGCACTCTAGGCAGCTAATCTTTGATCTGTATACTTCCTGCATTTCATCCACAACTTTTGTTTGGCATGTGGTAATTAAGAAAAACAAATGACCCAATTAGGTGCAATCAGCACAAGTACCGATAAAAGACCATGTTAAGATAATTTCAACATCCTCTGGTGTTGCAGATCACAGGACAAGATCAAAGATCCATTCTTTTCTTTTCCCGGTGAAGATCAAGATCTGCTGAAAAAGCTGAATTAAACAAAAGGCAATCAAGCAGCACACGAAGTAATAATTTGGCACTACTAAGCTGAATAAAGAAAGGTAATCAGCACACGAAGTAATAATTTGGCACTATTCATTTGTTCATTTTCACACGCTCTGAGCACATTATCCTCAACCCTGCTGCCTTTTTCTTTTCTCTCTTTCCTCTTTTTCATGTCCAGATCTGCATTCTGATTTGATGACATACGAAATGTGAATCTTCTGATCTATGGGATGGAGTGGTGAACAGAATTTGAGGAAAATATGGACGGGCACACGGCACTACGTCAAACTGGTTGGCAACTTGTGATCATCTGAACAATTGCAACAGGAGTGTACAATATGATTGCAAAATCACGGTCTCTGCTGCCAGTATATCCATATTTTGCAATGATCTAAATATAGATGACAAGATGGACCCGAATATGCCATATCCAGGTGTGATATAAATGGAAGATGTACACATTTGCTGTTACTGTAGTAAATCAGATCGAGATCAAGAAAGACCATAAAGAAACCAAATTAAAACTGGATCATTCAGCTTTGCAGGAGTCAGCGTGACCTTGTATTCCTTGTTTGTTTAGATCAAACATTATTTCGTTAAATTTGAATTGTTACAATACTCTCTGGAGAAAGTTTACTTGTAAACTAACTAATTGATTCAGCATTTGTAGAAAAATATGACCGTATTGTTGGAGCCAAACTGCGGAAAAGTAGTACAGTTCTCAGGAGACTAATAAATCTAACTTCAGAAGAAGAGGAACCTCAACATATCTCAATGATCACATTTGATCCATGCCAGCTCAAAAACTATGCAGCACGAGCCGTAGCTTCAGACCCAGTGTACTCATCAGGCCTGATGAACACAAAACTTTGGTTAGTAGTTGATTATATGGGGAGAAAAAAAAAGCAATGAAGAATTAGGGATAGGTCAAATTAAACTGAAGTCGGATGAGAAAATTAGCAAGAACCATAAAGTTACATTGCAAACAATTGATGTCTAAAAGAAGAGATTGCTTTTTTTATGGGCCATCAGTTTGTTTGGTGCATCTGCTGTTAAAGGACAAGAAGGTTTATAGTGCATATGCACTACTGCAAAAGATTAATCAGATAAAATTACCATCCACCCCACCAAAACCCCAAAAAAGCTCAATCCATTGTTGTTGTGACAAATATATTGTACCTTTGAACTCCTTCACCAACTTCCTTTGACAAATCATTCAGGACGCTCTGAAAATATTGACATCAAGAAGCAAAACCATTATGTACCATGAATTCACAATTCAAACTAGTACATAATTATAAAAAAGGAAAAGGTTTTATCAGTTCACCTTGATGTTTGTGCTATCGTTGTCAACATTTTTGCTCCAAATGCACAACTTCTTCAAAATACTTTCTTAGTCGGCCTTCCACCATTTTCTCCATGGCCATTTGGGATTTCCTGGAGCTTTCAGCCTAAAAAGTTTCATAGTAGCATGTCATTAAATCTCACATAACTTGCATGCAGTTCAGTCATATTCTGGATGGATGCAGTCCATGTGTCCCCAGAAGATGACAAAAGATATTGCTATTTAATTCATGGAAAAATAAACATAACTGGTATCATAAACTTCTAATGTGATTCACATTGTGTTCCATTGCATAGCTCATCTCTGAATTTTAACAGCCCAGCTGTCTTGCTTACATAAACATAAAACGATGTGACAGGAATACTAATTCCATTGTGAGTCAACAGTTTCCTTTCCTTTTCTTTTAATTATAATGAGTTAGGACTTGTCGCAAGATATGCATTTTTCTCTCAACTATAGGTCATTATTGCCCATGTCTGTTGTTCTGTTAAGATAACATCATAACACTTCGTACGGTATGACCTTATGATACCTGATATCTCACTTAATATGTAAAGCACACGTCCATTTCTGCAATTGTAAGCTAATTATATAGAATTACGGCGATGCTAAATTTTTCCGGTGCAAAGAAAGTAGCATTTGTCAGAATAAGGTACTTGAGTCCGGAGTATGCCCCTCTCATTTTCAACAGCTGAAGCGGAGACCAGTTCTTTTGATAAAAACAATGGTTTTGTTGCAACGATATGCATTGCAATAGATTTCCCAACTCTCTTAAGAGCATCAAGGGGAGCATTGCTGTCTTCTGCCTCTAGTGTGATCAAGCCAGCAAGACGACCCAACCCTTATTTCAGAAAAAAAAAAACTCATTCATTCAGTGAATGAGAAATTGCACCATTTACCATATATCAAATAGAACTTCATAATTCTGACGAACATAAAATATGGATTGCTGGTAGGAATCAAATTAATAACGCGAGCAAGCTTAGCCAGCTCAGTGTAAGAGGCAAGTATCACTAAAATCATATTACTACCAATGGTTTTACAAAAGTAAACTATGAGCTTGCATCCTACTAAATAAATTTTTTAAAAAGCTAAAATTCATCACTGGACAATCTAAGAGAATAGATTAACTACAATTTAGATTAAGGAACATAATGTCCAGAAAGTCCAACAAATTTGGATTTCTGAAAAATGAACCCAAAAGCACCACAACTCATTCACTATTGCCAAATACTAGTAAGGTGCCCATTGCAACAGCTTGGTGGAGGGCCTCGTCTGCACAAGTAATAGGATCACTTCTAGCTATGTTAATTAGGAGCAAGGCCAACTCTGCCCCCAACTGATTTGTCGTCAGTGAGCCCCCCTGATCCGAGTGTTAAACCAAATAATTCATCCAACTATTGTAATCATAAATTATGCATGCAAAATAATTGTACATGCCAATCAAGGACCAGCCAGCAAAGTACCGATTGGATGGAAAAGCAGAGTTTCCTTTGTCCTCCCCTCCCACCCATTCTGTGCAGTGAGACCCATCCTTCCCGGTAGAAAATCTAGTATAAAAAATCAAAATAGCAGACCCAGCCCCAATGCAACACTGAGGTGTTAACCATGCAACCGCCATCGCCATCTTGGCTGTCGTGTCTAGGGATGTAATGCTGAGGATCGAATACTAACACACACACACACACACAGAGAGGATTGCCCATTTGGTCTTTTTCTGAACCAGTTTTCTAATGGAAGAGTTGGGTCTCGCGCTGTGCACGATCGGTGGGAGACAATAGTCCACTTTTTAGAGTAGTAGAGATGCAATGTAATTAAATAAATGTAGATCTAATGCTGTTATAAATCCAAAATCATTATCTCTATTCCACTGATCTTATTCATAGGAAATGAAGAAAATGTAGTAATAATTAGATCAGCAAGCAGTAACTTACTACCAAAACAGAAGACACCACCCAGGCACCAGAGGTAGAAGTACCAATTCCCATCTCCCCTTGAGCACAGCACTTGTGCCTTCAAATCCAACATAAGAATTTGATTAAATGACAGGACCAAAATCTCATATAGAGATGAAATAGTCAGGGAATTTACCATATTTATGTTGAAACAAGCCACAATGTCCTCCTACAAATTTGAAGTTACATAAAAAAAATTGAGATGCAAATCAATACAAAAAGAACATTGAATAGTTGACAGGAAATACACTCAAATTGACAAGAAAGATTGGTTCTATCGACAGGCAAAATATCACACAAGCTACTACTTCAGTAAATAAAGTTGATTGATACTTGAGCGTTGTTGATGCTTTTACACAAAAAAAAAGAGTATTGTAGATACAAATATACAATAACTAATTGCTCTGATCCTTCAGAATCAGTGCTGCTTATAGTTAAAAAAAATGGTCCATTAAGATATCAATTAAGCATGGTCATCAACTAAGGCTGAGTTCGTTTTGAGGGTTCCCAACCCCACTCCCTCGTTTTCCGCGCGCACGCTTTTCAAAGTGCTAAACGATTCGTTTTTTGCAAAAACTTTCTATACACAAGTTGTTTAAAAAAAATCATATTGATCCATTTTTGAAAAAAAAATAGCTACTCCCTCCATCCCAAAATATAAGGCACAACCACTTTTCTCTCATGTCTTATAATATAAGGTGTGCATGCATGCATACATTAACTAGCACATCTTGGTCCAATAGAATTTATTTGTTTTAAATCCTATACCATCAAACCCCCAATCACATTGCTTGCATGTATCAAGGTGATCCAACCAAGAAGATGATTAAAACTTTTCTTGGTCTTTGTGTTATGAATGGTTGAGCCTTATATTTTAGGATGGAGGGAGTAATACTTAATTAATCACGCACTAATGGACTGCTCCATTTTCCGTGCCAGAGGGGAGCGTTCCCAACCAGGAGGAATGAACACAGCCTAAGCATGGTTATTTAAATTCAGAATACTGTTACTATCTTATTGGAACAAACTTTCTCAACTAAGTATTACACTACTATTGATGATAAGTTCAGAAAGCTAAAATTCAGGACAGTTAAATCAGTCTTCCTTGTTAGAATCAAATGAAACGCAGGTGTGAGAAATATGACCTTACACCGTGTACTCCAGTTAAACATATGTTCTGGCAATCTGGCATTCCATCTTAGTAGCTGCAATTCAACATGCCACTATTGACATATCAATATATTGATTCCTTGGAGATAGAGCTCAAAGCAGTTAAGACTTAAATTGTTAGTGCGTTGGCTATAACCTAAGATAAACCATATGTAACTACGATTAATAAGACTTTTTCCGCAAATCACCGATAAAAGAATCAGCATCCACCAAATTATTCTACATGTACCTGTTGAAAAGATGCCCATATTCTTGTTCTCTTACTGATGAACAAAAGTGAAGTGATGAGTGGATATAAGTGGAAATTTACAAAACATCAGGTATATTCAAACATTCCTCTCAACTGGTTTCCCTTGAATAGAAATACATTTAGGCCCATGGGCAGTGGTCACACAAAATAAAACAATGCCAGGGTAAAGTTCTGCTGGATGTCATATCCTGTGGAGCACAGACAAGTTAAAGGGCAGACAATGATGAAAGTGGACCTGAAGAACCATCGTTGATATCCGTTGGGCACCCAACAGGTGTATCTCATTGTCAGGACACAAGTTGAAAACTTCAGGTATAAATGATAATTATGTGAGAAAATTTTAACTAAAAAGAAATGGACTGATAACAGAATGAAGATAAACTGATAAAGATGTCGTTGCAAGAACTCTACTAATAAATGAAATGGCGTTACAGCAAAACAATTACAGGCATACCACACCTTGCAGATCCTTCTAATTTTTGGTCCGTGCTATCCCCACCACTGGAAACCTCTTCAGGTTTAATGGTTATCTGCCAGTTAGTCTGTCAAACATTCTCAAAGAACAAGTCTGTAGCAAGCGTGATATTATGTGCAAAACCACTGGTCAAAAGGCATAAACAGCACTTAAGCTGTTAGTCTTAGATCGGTCTAAAAATATTTGCCATTTAGGTTCTCACTCAAAGTTGCAGTCAGTAAAAGACACTCTGGCAAATGAAATCTGTGTAGAAGCCTTAACAAGTAGATTACTAGATTAACCAGTCTCACACAACAGAGTATGGTCAGAAGTATCAGGAACATAACCCAAATTTTTAATTAGACTCGTCAGCTCATCCAGTACTGAATATATCAGTTCTGCCTCTGGGTGTTCTCTCCCTCTCACAATGAACGTGTGAACTTCCTTTGTCACTTCAATCCAGCTACATCCTGTTTCCTTCACTGTGCCAGAACTATCCATCTGCTGTCTTAAGTTGTGCACATCAGCCCAGAGTCCTTTAGAGGCATAAATATTTGACAGTAAAACATAAGGGCCACTGTCTGTTGGATCTGCCAAGAGTGCCATTTCAGCGGCATACCTCCCAATTTCAGCGTTGCCAAAAAGATGGCAAGCGCTCAGCAAACTTCTCCAAACAGCTGCAGCTGGTTTGATTGGCATCCTTTCAATAAACTCCTTGGCAGCATGCAGTTTCCCAGAACGACCAAAAAGATTGACTACAGAAGCGTAATGCTCAATGCCTGGTTCAATATCATAATTTGATTTCATAGAGTTAAAATGGTTTAATCCTTCACCCACAAAACCTGCATGCGCACATGCTGATAACACACCGACAAAGGTCACATAGTTAGGTTCTACCTCAGCTTCTCCCATCAGCCGGAAAACCTGAAGAGCTTCTTCAGCATGACCGTGCTGTGCATAAGTCGTAATCATTGAGTTCCAACAAATGACATCCTCCCCACATGTTGATTCAAACAGCATCCTCCCTTCCTTAATGAAGCCACACTTAGCATACATGTCAATAAGAGCATTTGAAACATGCGGATCATTGTCAACACCTGCTTTGATGATCCAAGCATGAAACTGCTGGCCGTGGAACATGCTTGCTAGTGTACTTGCCACAGTTACTAGTGCGACAAACGTGAACTCATTAGGTGCCATACCCGATAAAAGAAGCTGGTTGAAGAGTTTTATGGCCTCTTCCCCTTGCTCATTCTGTGCATGGCCAAAAATCATTGAATTCCAGATGACCATGTCCTTGTAGTGCAACATATTGAATACAGTCTTGGCATCATTCACAAGGGAACACTTTGAGTACACATCAATTAGAGCACTCGCAGCATAAAGGTCCAATGAAGTTCCTGATTTTATAATAAGGCCATGAATCTGCTTGCTCAATTCAATGGCTAACTGAGATGATGACACCCCAAGGAGTGAAACAAAGGTCAATAGACTTGGTCTTAGTGAGAAAAATCTCATTCTTTGGAATATGTTCACTGCTTCTGCAAGATCACGATTTTTTGAGTATCCTTCAATCATAGCATTGTATGAAATTGCATCATCTTCAGCCAAGGCATCAAATACTGCTCTTGCTTCAGTTAGATGCTCACATTTAGCATACATGTCGATGAGAGCATTCTTGACATACTCATCAGCCTCCAGATCAGCCTTTATGACATGCGCATGTATCTGCCTTCCTTGCCATATTGCTGCCAAAGAGCCACATGAGTTCAAGATACTTGTACAAGCAAAACCATCTGGCTGCCAGCCAGCCTGAGTCATATTCCAGAACATGGTTATCGCTTCAGCATTGAATGAGTTCTGCATATAACCAGAAATCATGGTTGTCCAAGACACAAGATTACGGTACTCCATGCAATCAAACAGTTTCCGAGCTGCTGACAGTCTGGAGCACTTGCAATATAGATCAATCAACACATTGATCACTGATGTATCTGTCTCTGTGGCACTACGATACGCGTAACCATGTATTTGCCTACCACCCTCTAGAAAGCCAAGTGCAGAGCAAGCACTGACAGCACTTGCTAGTACAAACCTATCAGGACGGACACCCTCAATCCCCATCCTGTCAAACAACTCTAGGGCTACTCCCCCACACCCAATCTGAGCGTATCCTGTGATAACTGTGTTCCAAGTAACTGGGGTTCTTACAGGGAGTGCATGAAACACCAACATTGCCTCATCCATGCAGCCAAGCTTTGCATATAAGTTGATAAGCGCAGTCCCAACATAAACATTAGCATCCAGGTCCAACTTGACGGCAATCCCATGCACTTGCTCGCCAAGCGAAACAGCCTTAGATTGTGTACACGCACGTAGGACACTGGCAAGCAAGAACTCATTGGGCACCTCACAAGAGGCCTTCTGGAAGGCCACGAAGAGGGAAATTGCACAATCGTCGCGGCCGTGCTGTGTGTACATGGAGATGACCGAGCCCCAGGAGACAAGGTTCCGGTGGGGCATTCGATCGAACAGGTGGCGGGCGTCACGGAGGCGGCCAAGATTGGAGTAGCCACGCAGGAGCAGGTTGGTGAGGAAGAGGTCGTCGAGTCTTCCTGCGACGGTGGCACGGGCATGGATGGCCGGGTTCAAACGCCGGAGGCGGTCGCCGCCGGTGGGGAGGCATGAGAGTAGGACACGAGCTAAGCTGCGGATGTGGGTGGAAGGCGCGCGGCTTAGAGGATTCAAGAGTGGCATGCTCCACCATCTCCTGTTACACTGGAGAGGATTGTGTGCCTAGGTACCGGAGCTCACCGGCGGAGGAAGCAGCAGGTCGCCGGGGACCCTGCTCGCGCGGGGACGGGATGGAGGTCGCCGGCGGCGCAGGCGCAGGCGGCGGGCGAAGTGGCGAGGCGAGGAGGCCAGGGAAAGGTGGGTCGCACTCCCCAACTGGGCCAGAAAGGACGATCGAGCCCATGTGCGTTCAGCCCGCAAAGCGTTGAAGTTCGACCCAAAATTAACCCACGTACTACTGTTTCCACTTATTCGGCCCACAAACGCGAATGCAGAACATTTATGCCTGGGAAAAAGTACACCAGAGGTCCCTCATCTTGTCACCGAGTTACAAAATCATCCTTGAACTGCAAAACCGGATACAACGCATCCCCTAACTTATAAAAACAGTGCAAATTAGGTCCCTCAGCAGTATTGTTCCTAGTTTTGGCTGACGTGGCGTCTATGTGGCTTCTTTGACTAGGTGTTTTTGTTACATGTGGCAATGACGTGGGGCTTACGTGGCAGTCCGATTAAAAAATAAATTAAAAACAGTGGGGCCCACATGTCATACTCGTTTTCTTCTCCCTCTTCTCCCCCTTCCTCTCTTCACATTTCTTCTCTCTCCTGCTACACGGCGTTGGGCGGAGCAGGCCAGCTCCTCGGCCTGCCCGTCCCCCTCGTCAGCCCCGCCTCCTCCCTCTCCGTCTCTCGCCGCCGGCCTCCCCGCCGCCCTCGACAGTCGCACGTGGCCGAGCAGCACGGCCGGGACCCACGTCTCCTCCCCAATCTCTCGGTCTTCTTCTTTTCTTACCCAATCCAGCGACATGGCGGTGTGATCCATTCGGCGCCCGTGGCCGCCGCCGCCGAAGGTACTCACCAAGCACCACCGCCCCAGTGATGTTGCAGCGTAGCCTCCTCGTTGTCAATCGGCGCGGCCTCCTCGCCGATGTCCATCTCCAGCGTCTGCTCCGGCATTGCCCGTGTTAGCGTTCTTTAATCATGTGCAGCCGAAGATTATATTTTCGTTTTTGCATGTTGCATGAGCGCGTTTGCATGTTGCAGCGTGAGCGTCGTGTGTTTTGGCCAGGAGCACGTCTCATGGAGTATTGGCACACATGACGGAGGCCACTATGGCACTCCCAGTTTTTCAGTTGATTTTAGTTTGCATGTAATTTGCTTTATAGAAGTGAAGTAAACCCCAAAAAAACGCTGCAACGTTCTACGCGGCACCAAAAATTCCTGCATCAAACAGCTGGTGTTTTCACTGTTCATCATCTTCCACCTCCGATCAAGTGTGAGTTTGAGTGATTTGAAGGGTTGCCACTGGCAGCCCGCACAGCTTGAGTGGCCCACCTGCCGTTCCTCCATAACCGGCGAGGCAACCCGCATGAGTTGAGTGAGACCACGGTGAGGGAGCGGATGGAGAGGAGGTTCTTGGGAAGGAACCCGTTGCGGTGCAGGCAGACGGCAAGCTCGGAAAGGCCGCGGTCGGCGGTGGCGTCGAGGAGTCGGGAGAAGGCGGAGGAGGACACCCGCGGTGCTGGAATGCGAAGGCGAGGCGGCGGATGAAGGACGGCCTCGCCGGGAGCGACGGGAGCAGGTCGGGGAAGGTCGCCAGAGTCAATGCGGCCGAACTGGGACGGGTCACGAGAGGACGCGGAAGTGGCGGGAGAGGGCAGAGAGCGTGACGGCCTAGCGGGATGGAGAGGGATGCGCTCTCGTGGGACATCACCGCTGAGCACATGCAGGAAGAGGTGGTCCACCGTGCCGCCGTCGCCGCCGCAGGGGTCGACGGCAGCGGCAAAGATCAACGGCTCCTGCAACGGCGTTTCTCTTGGAATCATCGGCTGCTCCACCACCATCTCTCTCGCCTCGCGTCCCGCTTCGCTGCGCCGCTCCCCACCCTCGTTGTTGTGTCGACGGCTGCTCCCTCTCCGCCTCATGGACATGGACAGCTTCCCCGACTCGCCGGCCTCGTCCACTAACCCCCAACTCCCAAGCCGCGCGAGAAGAAAAAGCGCCCCTCTGCCTAGGAGCCAGAGGAGGAGCGGCGTGAAGACCGGCGGCGTGAGCGGGTGCCCCACTGCCCCCGCCAGCCGTTCCGCAAGTCCCGCGCTCCCTCCTGGACGCCGCATGCAACTGACATGTGGGCCCCAGTTTTTTTAATTTATTTTTGGATCAGATTGCCACATAAGCGCCACGTCATTGCCACATGGAACTAAGACCTAGTGAAAGGAGCAACGTAGGCGCCACGTCAGCCAAAACCGGAGACAATACCGCCGAGGGACCTAGTTTGCACTGGTTTTGTGAGTTGGGGGATGCGTTGTATCCGGTTTTGTGGTTCAGGGACGATTTTGTAATTCGGTGACAAAATGAGGGACCTCTGATGTACTTTTTCCTTATGCCTGCATTTTGGGTTGTTTGGTGAAGTGGAGCGGAACAAGTGTGTTTCGTCACCCTCGACTCTAGCCCGATATCGATTCACATCTTTCAGGGCCCCGTTGAATCACAGAAATGAAAAAATGGAGGAATAGGAAAAACATAGGATTCTGACAGGAATGCAAGTGTAAAACAGAGGATTGCAAAACACAGGAAAAACATAGGAATGACTATTTGATTGGGCCGCAAGAAAAACACAGGAATTTGAGGAGAGATAAAGACTCAAAGGATTCTTTCCATGAGATTCTACCTCATGTTAAATTTCCTCCAAAACTTGCATGGGAAAAGACAATCCATAGGAATTTCATAGGATTCTATAGGATCCATTCCTTTGATTCAAAGGGCTATATAGGAAAAAATCTTATAGGAATGAAATCCTCTAAAATTCCTATGAATTTCCTTTGAATAAAAGGGGCCCTCAACCGTAATATCGGATGTAAAGCATCCCCCGGTTATCGAAGGAAACGCTAAAGGAGAAAAACTAGGAAACGGGATACTGTCTAAACAATGGGATAAGTTATGAGTGAACCGTTCTTTTTCATGTTTAGATATGTTCTGAGAGCATGCGAAGGCGGGCCAGGCGTGACGTGAGAAAAACTTAGGGCCCCTTTGAATCACAGGAATGAAAAATGGAGGAATAGGAAAAACATAGAATTCTGACAGGAATGTAAGTGTAAAACAGAGGATTGCAAAACACAGGAAAAACATAGAAATGACCGTTTGATTGGACTACAGGAAAAACACAGGAATTTGAGAAGAGATAAAGACTCAAAGGATTTCTTCCATGAGGTTCTACCTCTTGTTAAAATTCCTTCAAAACTTGTATGGTAAGAGGCATTCCATAGGAATTTTATAGGATTCCATAGGATTCATTCCTTTGATTCAAAGAGCTTTGTGGGAAAAATTCATATAGGAATGAAATCCTCTAAAATTCCTATGAATTTCTTTTGAATCAAAGGGGGCCTTAGCATTGCTAAGTTGGTCAGAGGCTAGAGTTGCCTCCGGATTTCTGTATGTATGCTGTTGTACTAATAGTACTACTATATACTAGACTTATGTACTAAAGTACTACTAGCTTTTCTTTGGTAAACATTTTTATGCAGCCAAAGATCACACTAGAGACCTGCTCTGACACTCTTCTAGTATATAGAGTTAATAGCTTGAACAGATGTGTAGAAGACATGATACCCACAAATCATACATGTCACCCATATGGTACTTGATGCCTGGGTATCAAGTCCCTGATACTAGGTATCAAGTAGTAAGCCAAAGTATTCAGTTTAGTTCCATATGTACTAGGCCTGATACCTGATACCTCAGGTATCGATTACATGGTACCTTGATACTTGATACTTGGTATTGGGTATCGGATACCTAGGTATCAGGTACTTGGTATCTAGATCGGTCTGATATCCTTAGATACCAGACCTGATACTAGGTATCAAGTATTTAGGTTGTCAATTTCGTTTTGCACGGAAATTTTAATAAACCTTCACCAAATTCGTAAAATTTGGAAAAAAAAAAAGCCCTGGAAAATTCGGCTAACATATTTGCTTGCCGATAGGGAACCGAAATTGACATCACTGCTCGTGGGGGCGATGAGAGTGAGGGATCGATGGCGACGACGGGAGTATGGGGCCGGGAGGCGATGGGAGGGCCGTAACAGCTGAGGCATATTAGTGATCAAAGTAAAAATTCAGTGGTACAAAAGGACCAAGCAAATATGAAAGATATGAAAGGGATTAGATGAGTTTTAAGGGACACATAAGGAATTTTTTAAAGTTAGATCAAGAAATTGCCGTTAGCTTTCATCTCAGCATATGTTAGAGAGTTCGGCGGTGAGAGTTACAACTCTCCTCCCTCGTTTTCTGCGCGCGCGCTTTTCAAACTATGTTTTTTTGCATAAAATTTCTATAGGAAAGTTGCTTTAAAAAATTATATTGATCCATTTTCAAGTTTATTTTACTAATACTTAATTAATTAGTATTAATTAATCACATGTTAATGAACTGCTCTGATTTTCGTGCTTGAGATGAACGTTCCCAACTCCAGGGAACGAACGCAGGTGTCAACGGTATGAATGTAGTATGTGTTGGTGGTTCTTCCATATCTATATACCTACTTAAAAAATACGTAGGGCTTTCGATCACCCGTTTTGTCCGTAGTCGTCGTTTGAGTCCGAGTCCGTCTTTTATTTTAAAAAAAAACCCTGAGTAGATCAGCTGATTGCTCCCCACCCCTTTGCCACCAATTCCCAAAATACATGAATCACAAAATCACTCAATTGCAATCCCAAATCAAAATCAAGAATCCCCACAAAATCAACTCCCAATTCAAAAGGTAAAATCTAAACCGAGAACACTCCGGTTTAGCCTTAACGAGAGACACCCATACATAAGAGTACTCTAGGTTGCTAATAGTACACCCAATAGTATATATCTTTTTTTCTTCTTATAGAATTTTCTCTTAAACTATTTATTTGATTTATAATCCGATTACACCATGGTGTTTGTTGCAATTAAATCTTTATAACAAGATCTTACATGATTATATTATGATGGAAAAAATATTTATGTTGTAAATTACTTTTATTATATATGTAAATTGCTTTTATTATATGCAATAATTACTTCTATATTTGATTAAATTACTTTTTAGACATTCAATGAACACTTTACTTTATTGGTTAGTTCTACAATATGTTTATTAAATATAATTTCTAGATTGATATATTTCTTTACCC